CCCTCAGTATAATTCACTCAGCCTCTTCATACTGGTATGAGAAGGAACTGTAAATAGTACAAGTGACTGTGCCCAAACCTCCAGAACATTCACCTTTCTAGTTTCAGCATGGGTTCTTGGACTCCACAGGAATTAGTAGTGTGGAGGATCACTGTCAGGTACCTGGTGGTACTCCGGGTACTTTTCCTCCACCAAACCTCTGCTAATAAACTTTCTGGACTCCTATTTCCTCTCAGCCTTAACCCCCATTATATTCAAAAATTCCTAGATTCCTTCCTTAGTATGGCAGTTGCCCTTCATGAAGATCATGCCAAGCAGAGTCATCAGGAGACTCGTCTTGGGCAACCCCTGCTCTCATTCAAATTTTCACTGCTAGTGACATCCAACTTACTGACAAAGCTATAGACATGCTTAGTAGAATCCACACCCTCCAAGGTAAGGCAAAAGACCAGTTACATGTGTTCAGTAGCATTCCAGAAGGTCACAAAGAAGTGGTCCTTGTATTTTTTGTTACTCTTTTGCAAATCAGCATGTTTACATTCGTAATGGGCATTCATTTCATATTTGAAAAAAAGGAATTGGATGGACAAAGTCACTTTCTTGGTTAGAAAGTCTCTGCATGAATGCTCTTACAGAAATATCTATTGATTGTGTGTGTGTGTGTGTGTGTGTGTGTGTGTGTGTATGAGTGTATATGAGTGTGTGTGTGTGTGTGCGTATACACACAATCTGAAAAGTTTCTAGAAAACTAGCCTTTCTGTGTATGATTTACTCTGATATTCACTGTTCTCTTTCTAGCCCATACACTATATTCTATTAAAGTAATAATAACAGTTAGTACTTACCTTTAAAGAGGTTTCAGATGTGCTGTCTTTATATAACCCCATGGATACTGGCAACTGGTCTGTGGTGTTTCTCGGATCCATGCAACAAAGCAGTACTTTAAAATTTTTCCTCCATTGATCTTGTCATATGCCTTGTATTGCAGGCTACAGAATCAACCCAACTTCAGGGTATATAGCTCATGTCCATCTTGAGGATTTCTTAGATTTGACTTAGATCCTTAAAAGAAAACATCAAAAAAAATCTAAATTTAACAGTAAGAAGCAAATAGTCCAATTAGAAAATGGGCATAAGGCTTGAAACCACAGTTCGCCAGAGAGGATATCTGGATAGTAAATAAGGTGATGAAAGAATATTCACAATAATTTTTCATTAGTATAATGCAGTTTTAAGCCACAGTGACATACTACATACCTATTAGAATGGGTAAAATAAGAATTACTGAATATATCAAGTGCTAATAGGGTGTGTATCAACTGGATTTGTCATTCATTGATGATAAAAATGTCAAATGATCCAGGATCTCTAGAAATCAATTTACCAATTCCTTATCATGTTAAATATATACTTACCATATGATAGAACAGCCCCCTTCTTGGAATATACCCTAGAGAAATGAAAATATATGTTCACACAAAATACCATACACAGATGTACATAACAATTTTATTTGTAATATCTTCAACTGGAGACACTGCAAGTCTCCTTCAATGAATGAATGAATAAACAAACTGTTGTTATAGCCATGCAAGGGAATACTATACTACTCAGCAGTCAAAAAGGATAAACTATTTATACTCACAACTTGGGTGGATCTCAAGTGCATTATGCTAAGTAAAAAGCCAATCCCATAGAGTTACATAATTTTTTTTTTTTTTTTATCCTCACCCGAGGACATTTTTCCATCTTTTGTGCAGACAGAGTGGGAGGGAGAGAGAGGGAGAGAGAGAGAGGGAAACATCAATGTGAAAGGGACACATCGAGTGGCTGCCACCCGCACGACCAACCAGGGCCGGGGACAAACTGCAACCAAGGTACATGCCCTTAGCGGGAACCGAACCCGGGTCTCTCCGGACGGCAGGCGGACGCTCTAATGGCTGAGCCAAACTGGCCAGGGAGATAGTTACATAATTTTAAATTCCATTTGTATAACATTTTCAAATGGAAAAAATTTTATACTAATGCAGAATAGATCAATAATGGCCAGGATTTACATTTGATGTGATTACAAAGGAGGCACAGTAGGGGGTTTCTTTGGAGTTTTGGGAAAATTCTGTGTCCTTATTCTGGTAGTAGTTACACCAATTTATTTGTGTGATAAAAGTGTATTTAGCTATATATCAAAGCAAAAACAAACAAACAAAAAGCACCGATTTCATGTTTGTTTGAATTTGGTAATATCCAGATTTGATTATAATTTAATACTACTATACTAATTTCAATTTCTGAGTTTGGTAAATATACTATCACAATGTAAACAGATTTCTGTGGCTGAAGATAATGTAAGAGCCACAGGGACTTTCTGTAGTATTTTTATGATTTCCATGTAAGTATAAAGTTATTTCAAAATAAAAGATTCTAAATAAACAGGGAGGGTGCAACTTCTTGTACAATTATTAGTGTCTATCAATGTCCAGTTCTGCTCTCTTTATAGGGCAGCATTTCTGAGGTATAGTGCAGTTTATTGGGCTACCTGTTAATAATAATCCACTTTTGATAGATAACAGTGATTTAAAATAAAATGCAGAGGTATACAGAGGTGATGGGATATGAAAGTATTGCTTATGTTATTGTGGAAGGATAGGCAAGGAATAATCTTTGGGTTATGATTAGTGGAAAAGGTAAAGCAGCAATCAAAATAAAAGCTGCTACAGGGAGAATATACCAATTTTTATAGTATAGATCAGTGGTTGCCCGGGATTATATTTGTTGTGATTATAAAGGGAAATAAAACATATTTTTTCTCTTTCACTGCATATTAGTCTGACTCAGTTGCCACTTACGCAATCCATGAAACCTTAGAAACGTACATCATCTTTATACTCTGCAGTAAACTCCCACAGTGAATAGTGATTTACATTGTACAACAAGTCATATGAGAGCTTTGAGAATGGCTGTCACAGAATTTTTGTTGTTGTTAATCCTCACCTGATATTTTTTCCATTGATTTTTAGAGAGAATAGAAGGAAGGGAGGGACAGGGAGAGAGAAAGAGAAAAACATTGATGTGAGAAAGACACATCAATTGGTTGCCTTCTGAATGTGCCCCATTGGGGCTAGGATCAAACCTGAAACCCAGGTACTGGCCTTGATCAGGAATTGAACCCGTGACCCTTCGGTGTGTGGGCTGACACTCTAACCATTGGGAAACACCAGCCAGGACTCAGAATTTTTTAAGTCCATAAGTCTAGGTTATTACCTAGATAATAAAGTGTATAGCATATAAGAATGATAATTATCATTATAATAAAAAGTAAAAAGAAACTGCCATCTCCATGAGTTCTCCATCCACTTTGTAAATGTTTGTATTTTGAGTCAACCTGCTGTTCCAAGATATATCTGGTGGCAATACAGGCCACCAAACACAACCACAGGACATCTGCCATCCAGTGTGCCAAAAACTCAGGAACCATGGAGGACAGTCTCAGCTGGGGTTACCAGCTGGATCACCTTTTCCCAAACATGTCCACACTCAGCCCCTTATCAGCAGAGTCACTGAGGTATTTAGCCTCAGGACATCTTCCCTCAATTTCCCCCTTCTTGTAGTTGGAGGCCCCCTCCCACTGCTCACTGGTACTCCTGGCCTATCTCATCTGTCATCACTTACTAAACCTACCCACTCACATTGCCCCAAACTCAGTGGAGGAGGGCAATGTACATGGGGTAGAAAGAAAAATCTTCAGCAGCTATCAATATAACTTCCAGCCAGGAACACTGGTAAGGAGGCAGTAAACTACCAGAGTAGCCAAGAGATGCAGTTCTCCCAGCATCCAGCATTACTTGATGCTCTCTATAGTCTGTCTGATGGTAGGCAAGAAGGATTTTTAAGGAAGGGCAGGGTGTTTGGCATGCCTGTAGTTCTTTCATCAAGTAAAACTGCCCATTCAGACCACCTCACATCTTCCTGCTGGTAGTGACAATTCAGAAATTTCCCAAGCCTATTCACAGAAGTTGTCTTAGACCTTCAATCCAGATTCCCTACCTTCTCTACTTATGATCCCTTCTCCACCTTATGCTGAACTCTAGACCCAGAATGCTGACCACCAGCCTGCCCTGGGTTCTCTGGATGAGGTTTTACGTATGGTTTCTCTCATGGACTCGCAATTGCTCTGACCTCAGATCTTCACAGCAACTGATCAATCTGATCAAGTCTTTTCTTCTTCTATTTTTTACATCCTCACCTGAGGATATTTTTCCATTTATTTTCAGACAGAGTGGGAGGGAAAAATATAGAGAGAAAAAAAAAACATAGATGTGAGAGAGACACATCAATTGGTTGCCTCCTGCACGACCCGGACCAGGGCCAAACTGCAACCAAGGTACATGCCTTTGACCTGAATCGAACCCTTGACTCTTTGGTCAGCAGGCTGATGCTCTAACCGCTGAGCCAAACCAGCCACCAGCCAGGGCAACTTCTTGCTTTTTCAAAGTAAAGGAGGGAGGTCTTACTGATATTTCAAAGTAAAGTATGCCCAAAAGAATCTGAGTAATGTACTCAAAACATTAATGCAGAAATTCAGCTCTATATAGGTAAGGAATTAATTTAATGTTATAGTCAAGTTATTTTTTAGAAAGAAAGTACAACTTAAAATAATAATGAGACTTTATCTTTCACCCTAAAGGTTGATTAAAATTTAAGACTGATGAATAAAGTGCCTATAAGAATGTAAAGCATTCACACACATTAATGTGAGAGACTAAATTGGTATGGCATTTTGGAAGCAGAAGTTCAGCAATATTTGTAAAAATTTTCAGTCTTCACACTCTGCCCCCTTTAATTAAGTTTGCATTTTACTATGTATTTCTGATGAGAAAGGATGCACATTTGCCCAAGATTTTATTTTCAAAGATGTTGATTTCAGTCTTATTTAATTATAGCAACAAAAGGGACACAATTTGCCCGTTAGAAGGAGAATGGTTAAATTAATTATTGCACAAACATAAGTAGGATAATCCTTACCTGTTCTTTTTTGGGGTGGAGGGAAGATTGGAACTTGATGATTGGAGTTCCCATGATATTTGATTAATGTCTCTGCATAATCAAGACTTGCAACACCTTGATTGTACTTATCTGATTCTTCCCAATGATCTCTCCTTCAAATGGCCAACATGTATATGAAAAAATGCTCAACATCACTAATCATCAGAGAAATGCAAATCAAAACCACAGTGAGTTATCACTTCATACCAGTTAGGGTGGTTATTATAAGAAACAAAAATAATTAAGTATTGGTGAGGATGTGGAAAAGTTGAACCCTTGTACACTGTTGGTGAGAATGTGAAATGGTGCAGTCCCTACAAAAACAGTATGGAAGTTCACAAAAAAATTTAAAGACTATATGATCCAGCAATTTCATTTCTGGGTGTATAATCAAAAGAATGGAAATCAGTATCTCAAAGTGATACCTGCATTCTGATGTTCCCCACAGCACTAGCCACAATAGCCAAGTTATGTAAACAACCCACATATCCATCAAAGATAAATAAACAAAGAAAATGTGTTATATGTACTTTCTTTATCTATTTATATATGAACATTATTCAGCCTTAAAAGAGGAAATCTGCCCATTTGCAACAACATGGATGAACCTGAAGGACACTATGCTAAGTGAAATAAGCCAGTCACAGAAGAACAAGTACTACATGAATCCACTTACATGCAGTATCTAAAATCATCAAAATCATAGAAGCAGAGAGTAGAACTGTGGTTAACAGGGACTGGGGAAGGGGGAAGTAGGGAGTTGTTCATTTGGTATAAATTTTCTGTTATGCAAGATGAATATGTTCTAGAGATCTGTTGGATAGCATAGTGCCTATAGCTAACAATACTGTATTATACACTTAAATTATTTTAAGAGAGTAGATATCACGTTAAATGTTTTTTGTTTGTTTGTTTGTTTGTTTGTTTTTTACCATAAATAAATAAAAGGACATAAGGTAACGTTTGGAGGTGATGGATATGTCTATTACTTTGATCATGGTGATGATTTCAAAGATGTACACATATGTTCAACTGCATCAAATTGTACATATTAAAGTGGTACAGTTATTTATGTATCAATTATATCTCAATAAATTTGTTAAAAAAGAACTGTAGAGAGTAGTTGAAATAGTGTGGTGGATCCATATGTGCTGTCATGAAAATATCTTGCATTCATTTTATTAAGTGACACGGTCAAGAAGAAGAACAATATGTCCATTGTTAATCATGTATGTTAAAAGTTCAATACATCTTGCCCTGGCCAGTTTTGCTTAGCAGTTAGAACATCGACCTGCAGTCCAGAGTCCCGGGTTCGGTTCCTGCTAAGGGCATGTGCCTCGGTTGCAGTTTGTCCCCGGCCCTGGTCGGGTCATGCGGGTGGCAACCAGTCGATGTGTCTCTCTCTCACATCGATGTCTCCCCCACTTCCTTCTCCCCCCTCTCTTGCTCTATCTGAACAAAAAATAGAAAAATGTCCTTGGGCGAGGCTAAAAAAAAATATATATATAAAAAATTCAATACATCTTTATAGCACATCTATATATGGAAAAGCCTCAGATCATGTTTAAAATGACACATCAGATTAATTGTGGTTACCTCCGAGGAGGGGGCTGAATTTGGATGAAAGGAGAAAATTAAAATTTATCTGTATCATTAGAATTTTTTTTTCTTAAATAAATAAATTTATTATTTATTTTTGTTACAAACATTTTTCCTTTTTCCCCCATTGAAAACCTCCTCCCAATTCCGCCACCCCCACAGCATTATTATCTATGTCGTTGTTTATGCATACATGCATATAAGTTCTGTGGATCATTAGAATTCTTGCAACAAGAATATATGTACTATTACCTTTGTAATTAAGACATTTAAATACATCTAACCACAAAAATTTTAGCTGTGCATTAACCAGATAAAGTAACTACCATCTAATGCAGCATAAAAGATCTGCAAACCTATAATGGCTTACAACAACAAAAGTTTATTTCTCATGCACATAAAATGTGATGTAGTATCCAGTCTGCTCCCATAAGGTGGTTCCACTTCCCAACAAGGATCTCTGTGTTTGCTGCTGAATGGAAAATAAAACATGGAAGTGGCATTTTGGCTTTCAAACATCTTGGCCTGGAGGTGACAAACACTGTTTCTGTTCATATTTCAGTGTCAACAGTAGTTACATGACCCTTCCATAAGTACAAGTGGGTGGGAAATGTGTAGTCTCCCCATCAACCCAGGAGGTAGAGCAACACACCATGTGAATTAGCTAGCACATGCCGTCTCCCCCATAAACTGTTACAGTAGGTGCTCAGTCAAAAGCAACTACTAGAATTTATGAAACCTTCTTCGTTCTTGGTGAAGTTTCTAAGGAGGCCACTTTGCCTTGCAATTTTTCAACTTTTTTTCCAATCCTGCCTCATGGGAGGCACTTTCAAATGCTGGATCATGTTTAATTTTATAAAGGATACTGTAAAATCTCAATAGGGAGGGCTCACTTTTTTCACTCAATATCACCTTTCTGCAGTTACTTTTGAAATAAATTGTAGAGTGTCAATAGGATGAGACTGTTCTACTGAAGCATGGTCAAAATCTTGAGTCTAAGAAACCCTCAGTATGACTGAATGTGCAGGACACTTATACAGGTGTCATTAGGCACAAGCAGAAGCTAGCATTTTCTTCCAGAACAAGTACTGAGATAAGAGGCAGCAGAAGGATGGTGAATTATTTTAATTCTTGCTGTTCAAAGATAGCATGGCTGTTAAGAAACCATTTTTCCTGTCTTAGAAGAACTCTGGGTTCTGAGAAATTTAGCCTCAGTAGATATTTGCTGTACAGCGATTTCCATGGTCTTTCTACATCTCCAACTTACAAGGAAGGCTTTGGGTATTGACCATGTAGGTAAGTTCACTCATTGGTGTATGAGTTCAGTGGCCAGTCTCAAATAACACAGCCCTTTAAAATCCTACTGACAATATTTGGGTTGTTTACAAACCCCTGTTTAGCCCTGGCCGGTGAGGCTCAGTTGGTTGGGCATCATCCTGTGCACTGAAAGGTTACCAGTGGGATTCCCAGTCAGGGCACATGCCCCCAGGTTGTAGGCTAGATCCACAATAAGGGGCATGCAGGAGGCAGCTGATATTTCTCTCTCACATCAATCTTTCTCTCTCTCCTTCTCTTCTTCTAAAAAAACAAACAAACAAAAAACCTGTCTAACTTTAATTACCAGCATATTCTGTAAAAAATAAGACTCTAATCACCAGTTCATTTGGAATATACTATGAGACTATTGTAAAGATGGGGGTGGTAGGTGGGACTGTGGTAATAAGGTATCTAAACTTCGTGTCAATGGTTCCACCAAGAAGGATGCGCCTATAAGGTACACCTGCAGAGAGTTAGAATACTCTAATCAAGGGTAGGGAAGGAGATTCCAGACTACCCATATTACAGGAAGCAGGGTGCTGCTTCCAGAGGACACAGGAAAAAGCTGGTGAGCATATGAGGTTCCAGTTTGGACAGAAGGGCACATTGGGGGAATCTTTAGGGGAAAAGTGCTGTAATGCAGGAACAGACTGGCACAGGACTTGTGATAGCACCTGGGAAGAGTTAGCTTTCAAGGAACCCTGAGGAGAGGGACAATCCCAAAATTGTGCTTTATTCTCATATTCACTTACTTTCATCAGGGCTGCTTTTAGAATTTTTTTAGGAGAGTCTTATTTCATAATTGTCTGTAGTACATTTTGGGGTAGTAGGAAGAACAAAGAATAAAAAGACAGAAAGTCAGCCTCAGGCTGGAGTAGTGAAAAAGTGTGAGCTCTAGAAAAAATTTGGACCAGGATTCTAGTCCTAGCTCTTTTACTTACCAGCCATGTGAATTTGAGAAAATTACAAATTCTTCATCTGCAAAGTATGTCTGATAAGCCCTATTTTGTGGGACTGTTGGAATGTATGCAATGGACATAAAGCACGTGTCAGAGAAATTGGAAAATATGTATTAAATGAATGGCAGTTATCATATGATTTTTTTTTCACCACAGATGTTATCCGCCTCCCCTCTGGGAAGATTTATTTTTTATTAATTCAGGAGATGTCAAATAATATGCAGCTTTCTAAAACAAATAACACCAAATTCACCCATAATGCGGCTTAGTGCTGAAAATTTCAGCTGAAATTTCCCCATTTGAGGATAAGTTACTTAATTTGGGTGCAGGGGAGATTTCCTCAGTTGGATTCAACTCAGGGGTCCTAAAATTATTGTCAAGAACCAACTGCTTCCCTCCTCGGTGCTCTTCCATCCAAACCATCCTTTTTTTTTTTTTTTTTTTTTCATTCACTTCATCACCCCCAGATATGAAGCCCTCCCTTGGGGTTTGCAAAATTACACTCAAGTTAACCTAATTAAAATATCCTTTTAATGCATTGGGAGCTGGTTCTCTCTCCCAGTTCAGGAAAAAGAGAACCAACATATTAACTTCTCAGCATCCCACCTCCAGGGAGTATTACCCTTATTTCTCAGAAATTCCTTGAAGGCTTTATATATAAAACACCGAGACTGTGCTCTGTGTTCAACTGCACCCGAACATGAGTACAGGCACATTCCATTTCTGCCCCAAGAGGAGGTTTTCCTCTGGTTTATTGATGATACTAAAATAGCTCTTTTTAATTTTTTTTTCTTCACTGATTTTAGAGAGATAGGAAGGGAGAGGAGAGAGAGACAGAAACATCAATGAGAGAGAACATGTTTGGCTGCCTCCTACATGCCCCCCACTGGGGATCTGGCCCACAACCTGGGCATATGCCCTGACCAGGAATTGAACCGGCAACCTCTTGGTGCATGGGTCAATGCTCAATCACTGAACCATACCAGCCGGGCTAAAGTAACTCTTAAGAGCAAGTTTCCGTTCTAGGGTTTTGTCTTTCAACATTGAGAAACATCATGTGTCTGTCTGGCCTCTGTTTGCCAGTCCCACAGCTTCATCTAGCTTACTACCCTGCTTAAATTAACAGTGTACCCTCTAAGGTTCTTGTAGTTTCCCAAAGCCCAAACTGCGTTTCTTCAGGGATTTTATACCTTATTGCTTTCATCCAAACACCCCTCCCCCCCACTTCTCCCAACCCCTTGCCTGCCTCCTTACCTCCTTACTCCTTCTTACTTGTCCTTTACTTATTGGAGGGTATTTCAGCATCTTCCCTATATTATTACTGCTCCTTGAGTGTAGAATTCTAAGGGCAGGAGTGTTTTGTACCTTAGTTTCCCCATTTCTAACATAGGATTTGCAAAGAGCAGTTGCTCAATTAACATTTGGGGAATAAATGAGACAGTAAGCTTGAGTTCCAGTTTATAAACATTTTATTTATCCTACATTCTTTAATAAGCTAAGAAAATCCAGGTGTATAGCTTTTACTTTTATAGAACAATAGACTAAAATGAGTAAGGGAAACCAAGAACTGAAATCTTTTACTTTTTTCCCCTCTATTTTTTTTTTTTACCCCAATAATTGTACTACTAATATTTTTCACGTTTCCATGGAAATGCCTATTACAATACTATGTTTTTTTGTTCTGGTTCAGTAAATATGAAAAGTTTTCCAATTTGTTTTACAAAATAATAAAACTCCTAATCTTTAATCTATTAAACAGAAATAAACATGTAACTAAAATAGTTAATAAATTCAGATTCTGAAATTATTTAAACTTTCTATTAAAGAATCAACATTTAAAATGTAACAAAAGGAAAGAAAGAAGAAAAAAAGAGATAAAACTCTAACGTTTACCACAATGAACAGAAATGCTGTGTTCCCTCCAAACCCACCCTGGCCATCTACTACTTAGAATGTTGACTGCTCTCTTTTTACACAAAGAAAACAATCTGCCTCAGATGTCAACATTTGAAATATAACCTAAAACAAATAAAAAGAATAAAAGGTAAAGTTCCAAGTTACCAATGTAAAATAGGAATACAAAGATGATATACACTTTCCAGCTCCATTCTGGTTCTTCACTATTAGAACATTGACACACCTATTCAAGGAAAAAGTTAAGAACTTGCCTCAGACTTCACTTAGTGTGAGAGGAGCTGTTGGCCAAGGCCCTAGGGTACATTTGCAGCAATACGAGCTCTGGCTGCAGCTCTGGCTTGGGCTCTGTCTTCCTCATCTCGCAAAGCCTCTTCATACCAGAGTGGGAAGGCACTGGGAACGGTATCATAGACCTTAGCTAAGAACTCCAGGACTTTCATCTTGCTGGTCTCAGCATGGGCTCTTGGGCCCCACAGGAATTCATAGCGTGGAGGATCAATGTCAGCCACCTGGCGGTACTCTAGGTACTTCAGTTGCACCAAATCTTCAGTGATGATCTTCTTGGGCTCCCCATAGATTAAGTGCTTCTTATCAGCATAGACACCCATCAAATTCAGCACTTCCCAGATGGCTTCCTCAGGGGCACAATTGTCATTCATAAAGATTACACCCAGAACAATCATCAGGAGGCCGGTTTTAGGCATGTTTTCTTCATTCATCGTTCCATCTAAGGTGAGGTCTAGCTTGCTGACAAGGGCATACCAGTGCTTGTTGGGATCCACTTCTTTCAAATCAATACCAAAGGCCAGCTCCATGTGCTCAGAGGCTCTTCTGAGGATCTCATTGAAATGAAGCTTGTACTTTTTTATAACAAATTTCAGCATATCTGCCTTTGTAATTGGCTCTTTACTTTGATACTTCTTCAGGAGAAACTGCACCAACAAAACGACCTTCTTGTTTAAAGGATCTCTGCGAAAGCCCTCTAAGGCTTTTGAGGATTCTGGGCTTTCTTCATCTTGTTTATTGGCACCTTCATTTGAATCAGTGCATGAGACAGCTACATCAGTATCACTGGTGCTATATGGGGTTTTCTGAGGCTCCTTATGAGTGCTAGGTGTCTCAGCAGCAGGCACATTCTGAGCACTGCCTTCAAGGAGGGGATAGGCAGAGGAGGAGGGCTCTCCTTCCTCTGCTGCAATAGCCTGAGCACCCTCCAGACCCTGGGTCTGGGCCTTAGCACGGGTCTGGTAGCGTTTTTCACGGGCACGGAGCTTACTCTTCTGACCTCGAGGCATGATGTCTCTGGTCACAGAGAGCAGGTAGGAGTTCAAACAATTAGGTTGATGAATAGGTCACCCTAGAAGACAGAAGAAGAAATGATGTGTACAGTCCCAGTACGGAGATTCTACCTTGTCTCTAAGAAAAGCCTCCTCTGTTGGTTTCCTTAAGGGCACTGTTTTAGGAAGCAAGACAGGGACAGAAGGGACTCTGGGGACCTCCTCTGTTCTGTGGGTGCTTGAGACCTGCAGTCTAACTCAGTATACTAAACTTTATTCCTGACCGGTCTTTTGACGACTCTTCCACTGTCTTGAGGCTGCCTCTTCAAGCCAACGCTTCCCATCCCACTCATTCCTTAGGTAGAAATGAAGGGGCATTAGGTCTAACAGCCACACTTGAACCATTTCAAGTGGACATGTGGGTGGAGTGGGGGAATCTCAGAGTAGGGTGGGGTCTGTAGGCTGTGGGGTTGCCTCAGTTCTGGGAGGAGTGTGTCTCTTTAATTCTAACAAGTGTTACTCACTTTGACACCTGTCCAATCTTGGGACTCCACCCTTTGCTGACGTGAGGCTATACCTCTTAGACCAAAGCCACAAGCTCTAGAGCTAGTACGGCAGAAATTAGGGAGAGCACTTCTGGCCATGCCCACCCAGGCTTTCTAGAATAACCACATGGGTAGGTTTTGGGGTTGGCACCCCCACTCTGTTCTGTGGACAGAGGAATCATGCAGAACTCACGCAGGGGTCTTTCCTGACTCCTGAAATGGCCTAGGACTTTTCTCTCTTGGGGACCTGAGTGAGCTGGCCTCAAGCCAAAGCTCTCATTTCTCTCTGAACTTCCAATAGGAAGTAAGCTGGAACCTGAGCCTAGCAGCCACACCTGGGACATCCCAAGAGTGACAGTAGGAGAGCTCTTTGTGACCTCCAACTTTGAGGTGGGCTCTATCCTCAGTGTCTTCCTTGATGACTTATAGGTGATTGCCTACCACTCATCTGTTTATGTGAGGCCAAACTTATAAGGTAAGGCACACATGTGTAAATAATTTAAGGATAATTGACATCTGTACAATATTATGTTCATCATGAATAAACATAATATATTGCTTTACTTGTGACTCCTTTTACTTAAGTCTATACAAAATATAGTTATATTTGCTTCCATAAAGATCATGTACAGTTTTGTTAGTTCTCTTTTTATGTATGTTTTTGATATTACTGCTATTTTGAATTATATCTTTTCCATTACACATTCTAATTAGCTATTTTTTTGTGTGGCAAGACTCCTGATATTGCTATAGTCATCTTCTATACCAGCTTCCTGAAGTTTCTAATACATTTGAATATTTGGCAGCCAATTTCTTTGGAATTTTTAATTAGGGAATTATATAATTGCTTTCTTTTCATTATTCATAACTTTTATTTTGTACTCCTGTGCATGGCTATTCACTGGCTATGCAATCCAGTTCAAGTTTGAACAGTAGAATTGGTACAGTACGTTCATGTCCTGTTGTGGACTTTATCGGAAATAGGTCTAACATTTCACATGTGTGTATGTTTGCTGTTGATTTTACTACATGGAAATTCCATTCTAATGTAAGTTTGCTAAAAGGTATTACCATGAAGTGGTGTTGAATTTTTATCAAAGGTTTTTTGTTTTTGTTTGTTTTTTCTTTATTTCCGCACATGATCAAATGCTTTTTCTTCTCTGTTAACATATGAATTTCAATAGTTTTTGTTGGCAAAACCACTTCAGAGGTGACGCTGCAGTTTCACTAAGAGATACACAATGTCTGTGGTTTTCTTTGTGGTGATTTTAGCAGTCAATAAGGATCACCACTTTCATCCGATAATTCATTAGGGACTAATGAATTGTAACTCTCCAATTCTGTCATTCCTTCTGAGATTATTACCTGAAATATATCTGTAGGTAGACCTGTTATCTTTCATTTTGTTTATATTTTCTTTTTAATTAAATTTATTGGGGTCACATTTATTAATAAAATTGTATAGGATTTAAGTGCACCCTTCTATGATACATCATCTGTATATTGCATTATATGCCCACCACCCAAAGTCAAATCTTCCATCACCATATATTTGACCCCCTTTACCCTAATCTGTCTCCACTCCTTCCCTTTGGTAACCACCATACTGTTGACTGTGTCTATGGATGTTTGTTTGTTTTCCTGTTTGTTCATTTGTTGCTTTCAGTCTTATATCTCACATAGGAGTGAAATCATATGGTTCCTGGCTTTCTCTGTCTGACTTATTTCATTTAGCATGATATTCTCAAGATCCATCCATGTGACAAATGGCAGTATTTCATCTTTTCTTATGGCTGAGTAGAATTCCATAGTGTATATGCACCACATCTTCCTTATTCAATCATCTATCAAATTACACTTTGTTTTTTTTCATGTCTTGGCCACCATGAAGAATGCTGCAATAAACATAGGAGCACATATATCTATGTGAATAAATGTATTCAAAATTTTCAGGTAGATATCCAGAAGAGGGGTTGCTGAGTCATATGGTAACTTTATTCTTATTTTTTGAGGAATCTCCATACTGCTTTGCATAGTGGTTGTATCAGTTTGCATTTTCACCAGCAGTGAATGAGGGTTTATTTTTCTCCACAACCTTCCCAACACATATGACTTGTCTTGTTGATAATAGCCATTCTAACAGGTGTGAGGTAGTATCTCTTGTAGTTTTGATTTGCATTTCCCTGATAGTTAGTGAAGTTAAACATCTTTTCATATATCTGTTGGCCATATGTATGTCTTCTTAGGAGGCCATGCCCATCTTTAATTGGATTATTTGATGTTGAATTTCATGAGTTCTGTATATATTTTAGATATTAACCCTTTGTTGGAGCTGTTGTTTACAAATATATTCTCTTATTCATTTGTTTGCTTTTTTGTTTTCTTGGTTCCTTTTGCTGTGCAGAAGCTTTTTAGTTTTATATAGTCCCATTCATTATATTACAAAGTGACAATAACCAAAACAGCATGATATTGGCAGAACAACAGACACAAAGATCAATGGAGCAGAACTGAGAGCCCAGATATAAATCCACATGTGTACGGGCAAATAATTTTTCACAAAGAAGCTGAAAACATACAACAGAGAAAATAAATCCTCTTCAATAAATGGTGCTGGGAAAATTGGGAAGCCATGTGAAAAGAACGAAACTAGACTACTGTTTTTCCTCATATATAAAAATTAATGCAAAGTGTATCGAAGATCTAAATATAAGACCTGAAACAAATTACATAGAAGAAAATATAGGTGCTAAACTTATGGACATTGATCATTTTTTTTTCTTGAGGTGAGCCTTACATTGCCCCATTTTATTGCCTAGAGAGATAGATATATAGATAGATCAAGAAATCTATGTCTCTCTTTGTCTAATCAATATCAGAAAGCTCTTTAGCTCAAAATTGTATTATATTTTATGTATATATTTTTTGTGTTAGCCAAGAGATAGATTTTATTCTAAAAACAATGAATAACATTGAAACTGAGACATTAAAACTTAAAATAAGAATTGTATGAACAAATGTGCATGCTAGAATATACTTCATTGCAGCATTGTGGATCAGTGTTCATCAGGATTGTGATATTACTTATCACAATCACAGTAATAAGGGAGGCCTAGGAGATATGTTGGAGAAAGTTGACATGTAAGAAATTGTCATGGAAGGAGTGTCTTTAGGATAAACACACACACACACTCATGTGTGTATACATATGCATATATACCTGTTACCAGAGGGATCAGGGTGTTAGATTCCCATGACACTTGTGGCTGTTGCAATATCTTTAGAAAATTAATTTTCTAAAACTCACAAGGGAGAATGAATGGTTTTTATCAGCATGGAGTTATGTTTCTGGGTTATAACATCTCAGTTCCTTTAACCCAGTCCTGGAAAAGGGGCAGCTATGGGTAAAGCAGAACTAGAAACAGGACCAGTATCCAGAGTGTCCATTCCATGATGAAACCGGGTCCAGATCAGCATCAGTCTAGCTTCACTCCATTAATCCATTATATGGAGTCCACACTACTCATGGCAAATGCAGGAGTCGCAAAAGGGCAGGAGGGTTGAACGAAAAGAGAGAGAGAAAGAAAGCTCTCCCTTGTCTAGGAGATTAAATATTCAGGTTTCATGCTTGCAGTGGCCACACCTATTCTGGCCACTGACTCCCTCCTAGGTGTGATGGACAGGTAGCCACCTTCCCACATCACTCAGACCTTACTGGGCATGTGTCTAAACTGCCTATGTTCAGTCCCTTCATCATCAATCAGCAAGGAAGAAACCAGGAGTGTTAAACTATTAGTCTCCCCTTTACTCTTTTCCTGTTAAATAATAACCACATTATTGCAATGGCATCATACCTAGATAAATTTGTCTTAATTTCTGTTACATACTCTTATGAAAATTATTTAATAATGTTATAATTAACTCAATTTCATCATGTCTTCAAATTATTTTTTCACCTTTATTGTTGAGAGTATTAAAGATGCCCCCCCCTTTTCCCCATTGACCCCTCCCCCCAGTACCCACCCCACCCAAGACTTCACCACCCTGTTGTCTGTGTTCATGTGTAACACATATAGGCATATAAATTCTTTGGGTAATCTTTTCCAGGCCCCCTTCCCCCATCCCCCCTGATTTTTGTCAGTCTGTTTCAAGTTTCCATGCCTCCATTTTTATTTTATTTTTGAAGAATGTGTAACAGTTTTTATTCTAATTTATTCATTGGCAGGAAGGAGAAAAAAGCTTCAGAGTAATATTAATTTCCACAATAAGAACCATATTTTAGGAGAACAAACATGACCATTAAAAATCCCGTAGACACTCTAATATTACTATACACACTAACATGTATCAGTATGAGAAGAATGTGTCTATACTATTTCCAATTGATTTTTATTTGCTTGTTGCTATAATTTTTTAAGTTCTTTCCCTCCTACTGCTTTAGCATGTTTCCTTAGTGCTTTATTTTTCTATTGG